CCCTTAGTACAGGGTACTTTTCTCTCCCCACACTCATCTTGCTGATTAATGAAGTACTGACAAACACTTGTGAACTAAAACCTATTAAAATTAGTAACATGCAGACCTGATTTTAAAAATCAGTATTTTTTTGTTTCTTGTTTTAAAAGCTCTATTTCAAAATTAAATATTTGATTTGTGATATAATTAAGTTTTATTATATCATTCTTAATATCTAGATAGGGTAACGATATTTATCAAGTACAAACTAAGCAACTTTATAAGAAATCAAATTCTGAGGACTATTAAATTCTTTGTATGTTCGAATTCACTACTCATACTTAATAAGGTAAAGTAGTCCTGAGACAAAAGAGTTTGAAAACCTTCTATGTAGCAATCAGCTATTCACTGTAGTACCACTGTAACTTCAAGATACTGGAAACAACCTGCATATCCATCAATAATAGAGTAGCAAAAATAATTCTGACATATCCATACACTATGCAACAGTCAAAGAGAATGAGGAGCAATTAGGCAATAAAATAAAACACATCCTGAGTTAGAGGAGGAAGTAAAACTATCTCTATTATATTGTGAAAAAAAACAAAGTATTGCTGAGGGAAAAATTTAAGAGACCTAAAAAAATAAAAAGATACCTCATGTTCATGAATCAGAAGATGTAATATTATTAAAATGGCACTAATTTCCAAATTAATCTATAGATTCAAAATAATACAAATCAAAATATTATCTAGCTTCTTGCAGAAATTGACCACCTGGTCCTATAATGTCTATGAAAATTCAAGGGACTCAGAGTAACCAAATAATCTTGAAAAATAACAAAGTTGGAGGACTCACACTTTCAGATTTCAAAACTTACTGCATAAGGGATAAATATATGGGCAAGTGGAAGAGAATTGAAGAGTCCAACATAAACCCTCACATTTTGATCAGTTGATTTCTTAAAAGATTTTATCTTTATTTTTAGAGAAAAGGGAAGGGAAGGATAAAGAGAGAGAAACAACCCAAGCATGTGCCCTGACTGGGAATCAAACCAGCAACCCTTTGGTTTGCAGGCCCATGCTCAATCCAATGAGCCACACCAGTCAGGGCTGATTAACTGATTTTTGATAGAGTGTGAAGACAATTCAGTGGAGAAGAAATAGTCTTTTGAACATATGGTGCTGGAACAAATGAAGAGCCACATGCAAAAGAATGAAACTGAACTTTTTACTCACTGCATATAGAAAAAAACAACTCAAAATGTTCAAAGACCTATATGTAAAAGCTAAAACTATAAAATTCTTAGAAGAAATTATAAGTGTAAATCTTCATGCCTTCTGATTAGACAATGATTCCTTAGACGTGATACCAAAAGCACAAGTAACAACAGAAAATATTTATAAATTGGACACCATCAAAAAGGTTGAAGGAAAACACCTGCAAATCATGTACCAATAAGGGATTTATATCTAGATTATATTGTATAAAGAACTCTTATAGCTCATTAAAAAGACAAATAATCTACCTTAAAAATGGGGAAAAGATGTGAATAGATATTCTCAGAAAAAAATATACATTCCTCACTGGTGTGGTCAGTTGGCTGGAGATTGTTCTGAAAAGTGAAAGATCACAGTTTGATTCCCAGTCAGGGCACATGCCTGGGTGGCAGGTGGTCCATGGTCCAGGCACATGTGAGAGGCAGCCTATTGATGTTTCTCACATCGATGTTTCTATCCCTCTCTTTCTCCCTCCTTTGCCCCCTCTCTAAAAGTAAACAAACAAAATCTTTTTTAAAAAAAAGATATACAAATAGTCAATGACACAGGTAAAGCTGCTCATCATCATTAGCCATTCAGGAAATACAAATCAAAACCATAATGAGGGGAGAGGGAAGGGAATTTCAGGGGAAAAGGGAAAGAGTTTGCAGGAACAAGTATAAAGGACACATGGACAATAACAAGGCGGGGTTGGACATGGGAAAGAGGGGTGGAGAGCTGGAGGTGGGGGTCTGGGATGTGGGAAAAACGCAGAAAACTGTATTTGAACAACAATTAAAATTTAAAAAAAATTAAAAACTATAATGAGCTATAATTTCACACCAGATAATAATGAGGGTTGAGGAGGATGTGATGAAATTGGAAGCCTCATACACTGCTGGTAAGAATTAAAATGGTGCTGCAGCTGCTGTGGAAAACAATTTGGCAGTTCCTCAAAAGGTTAAACACAGGTTACCATATGACCTAGCAATTCCACTCCTAGGTATACACTCAAAAGAATTTAAAACATATGTCTAAACAAAAACTTGTACAAGCACATTCATAATAGCATTATTCACATAGCCAAAAAGCAGAAATAACCCAAATGTCCATCAATGATAAATTTTAAAAATATGATAGAGCCATACATGAATATTCCTCAGCCATAAAAAGAAATGAAATACTGACACATGCTATAACATGAAGTTTTAAAACATTATGCAGGTGAAATAAGCCAGTCACAAAGGGCCACATATCATATGATTCTATTTAAATGAACTGTCCACCATACACAATCCTCAAGAGATAGAAAGTATGTGTTAGTTTTCCAAATTGAAATTTTTTAAAGATTTTATTTATTTATTTTTAGAGAGAGGGGAAGGGAGGGAGAAACTGAGAGAAACATCAATGTGTGGTTGCCTCTCATATGCCCCCTACTGGGGATCTGGCCTGCAACTCAGGCTTGAGCCCTGACTAAAGAATCAAAATGGCGACCCTTTGGTTCATAGGCCAGCACTCAATCCAGTGGGCTACACCAGCCAGGGCCAAATTAAATTATTTTTAAAAACAGCTACGTTGTTCAGGTAATCATGTTATATCTTTCTACATCTAAAATTCTTCTTCTAAAATATCTTTAAAAGCACTTGGAGGCACAAAAGCATGCCATGGATCAAGGAGGAAAGACCCAGAATTTTAAAACAGCTAAGGAAAACTCATAAACCACAAAGGCAGAAAACTGATTTGTCTGTTGAATCCTATCAAATGGCCAACATTCACTCCAAGTTAAATTCTAGCATCCTTCTGAACTGGAAATTACTACTAATAATTAAACTTTAATTTGCAAAATATCTGTACATTTTATAAAGGCAATCATCAATGTAAAGGTAAAACTCACTGGACTTTATACCATAGTTAATAATTTTAAACTAAATGCAACTACTTTAAATATTTATCGAGATAGTAAAAATAGTGTAACTTTCCAGTTAGATACATGGGTTTGAATCTTAGCCTGCTGTTTACCAGCTAGGTAATCATCAATTTACTTGGTCTTTGTGATCCCCCTCCTTCCCTTCAGTTACATCAGGAATTAAAATACTACCTACTTTAGGGTGAAAAGAAACACTCCAACTACTTATAAAACAGAGGTAGGGGACAATGTCACTTCTTAAAAAACCTACCTGTACTGTTTGAAATTTCATACATGTATATAATTTATATATATATATAAAGATTTTCTTTCTTTATTTTTATAGAGAGGGAAAGGGAGGGAGAAAGAGAGAGAGAGAGAAATATCAATGTGTGGTTGCCTCTCATGCATCCCTTAATGGGGACTTGGCCTGCAATCCAGGCATGTGTCCTGACTGAAAATCAAAAATCAGTGACCATTTGGTTTGCAGGCCTCCACTCAATTCACTGAGCTATGCCAGCCAGGGCTCATACATGTAAAAATATGATGAGTATTTTTAAAATAGAAACATTTACTTTATAAGGTTCTTGTGGAGTCATTTTGTAAGATATCTACACATAGAAGACTCCCAATTAAAAATAATTTCCTCACACCTTCTATAACCTTTCCACCTTCTTGAATTGAGGTGAACAAGACTTGGAAAAAGCAAAGTTAAACATTTATTTTTCTGAAGGCAGTGGTTATCAAGAAAAAGATAAGGCCTGGCTGGTGTAGCTCAGTGGATTGAGCGCGGGCCTGGGAACCAAGCAACCACGGTTCGATTCCCAGTCAGGGCACATGCCTGGGTTGCAGGCCAGTTCCCATCAGGGGACTCACAAGGGGCAACCATACATTGATATTTCTCTCCCTCTCTCCTTCCCTTCCCCTCTAAAGATAAATAAATAAAATCTTTAAAAAAAAAAAAAAGAAAAAGATAAGGGCAATAAAACTGAGCTTCTCAACCACTTTCCTCAAAACACACTAAAGAATTTTAACTAGAGAGACAAAAACATTTCCACATTTTCACTGATTCTAATCACTCTACTCTGAAACATTAAGGTTTAGGGGAAAGGGGAAGTTGCAATGTTAATACTATCAAATGAAAAGGAAATTTGGTAACTTAATCTTTTGATGAACAAGGCAAATTCAGGATTCAGTTCAGAGAATATTTTTCACTAGAAAACACAATACAAATATAAATTGTGACTATCTTTTATCTAGCAAATAAAGTAAAATATCAGCTGCATTTTTTTTGTTTTGTTTTGAGAGTACACTGAGATAGATTAATGTAATTTAACCTATCCAGGCTGTCACCTTACACTTTGCAGGATACTGTGAGACTTAAGAACATTCTCTTTCATATTCTAAGAGATAGAGTGAATATCAGAAAGCACAGCAGTTTTGCAGATCAAAAAGGTGGCTTTTAAAACCACCAAAATACAATGGGATCACTAAAGTTAGTTTGTGGCCTTTGGTAGCTGTCTTAAAAACAGACATTAGACTTTTGCAAACATCAAATTTACCTATGGGAACATTTCTCATCATGTATGCAGAAGTACATAACTAAACCTTCATGTAGCTAAAAATATACAAATCCTATTCTTGACCATTTAATATATACATTACTGAGAAAGAATTTTCTGGAGTGTCTTTGTTTTTAGGCTATTTCAAAAACATATTTCTATCGATGTAATAAACATCTAAACCTGTAGAGAATTTTTATGAGTTCATGTGAACCAAAACTGACGACATTGCCAGGAACCCACCCATGGCCAGGATGGGTATGAAAGCAGCCCAACACAAAATCGTACACTTACTTAAGATCTTTTTTTGCTCATCAGTTTTCGTTAGTGTTTCTGTATTTAATGTGTGGCCCAGAGACGTCCTGGCCAGAATAACAGTTTCGAAGTTTACGTATTTGGAATTTAAAACGGCCCTTGAGGAAGATTACTTGAAAGTAGAAGAAAGCAAGGCAAGGATCAGATTACAGGGCAGTTAAGATTAAGTGCTCCCTAGACTGTGGTCACCTTTTATAAGAAGGGGTGTGAAAGTGGGTATTTCAAAGGTGTGTTAACCTAGATGCGCAGAAACAAAGGACTGGGCTTGCTTAAGGCAAAGATAAATCTTTTACTAAAGAAACTGTATTCCCACCATGACCTGCCCAGTTAGGAATTCATGATTTATTTATTACAGCACCCTTTTACCCCCACACTTAAAAGGCGAAGCACAATCAGTAAATTTTAGAAAACTACAATTTACATAATAGTTACGTAAACTACATTTACATAACTTTTATCTCAACTTCGTTGAACGGTTAAAGGGAACAAAATTAAAAAGTGGGAAAAGCCAGCTGGTAAGGGATTCCCCCGAATTCCAGGCTTTCTCCTTTCCAGTTTCTGCAAACCACCTCAAAAATTCAGCGGCGGATGACATTAAATTCTTCTCAGTGTCCGTGCAAACAGGGAAGCCGAGCCCTCGGCCAGGCCTTCAACTGCGGCTTCTCCGACTTCCCTCAGGACCGCCCCAGGGGCTGACAGGATGGTTGCCCCGCCTCTCCCGAAGGCGGAAAGGAGGGACACCCCTGACTCACTCACCCGGGCCAGCCGCCAGACAGCACCACTTTCACCTCGGCGAAGTCCACAGACCGGCCTCAGCGCCCTCCAGAGGCCGAAGCGCCCCCTTTCCGGACGGGCCTCCTTCCCCACAAAAGTCACCCTCAAGCCCCCTTGCACCCCTCCAAGCGCGGGGTACGCAAAGACCTGAGACACCGCCACTTTCGGATCCTAGCTGCCGGCGGGGACCCTAGCCCCGCCCCACGGTCTCGTGAGCCTGCGCGCCGGGAGCCCGCGCCTGCGCGTCCCCTAGTGCCCCGCGCGCCCCCGCCAGCACGCGTCGCCGCCAGAAAGGCCGGGCGAGGCCGTGGCGGAGGCGGAGGCCCGGCTAGGGCGGCGCGCGCCCCCGCCTTGCCACTCACAGGCGACGTTGGCCAGCGGCCCCAAAGTCCATCCTCCGGGTTAGGCGTAGAGCGCGAAAGGGGAGGGGACAGCTAGGAAGGCAGGAAGCTGCGGCTTAAAACGGCAGCCCGCGCCGGGCCCTTCTTCCCTCCTACGGTCCCGGAGCTTTATACATCTCCTCTTCTCCGCGGCCTCCGCCCCGCCGCCATGTACCGCTGCCTGGGCGAAGCGCTTCTGGTATCCCGCGTCGGGCCCGCAGGCCTGGGCTCGACGGCAACCGACTCTGCTGCGCTGATGGGCCGGGCCCGCGGGCAGCCGGCCGCCGCCGCCCTGCAGCCGGGGCTCGCGCTGCCCTCCCGACGACACTACAGCGAAGCGGCGGCTGACCAAGAGGACGACCCCAACTTCTTCAAGATGGTGGAGGGCTTTTTCGACCGCGGTGCCAGCATTGTGGAGGACAAGCTGGTGGAGGACCTCAAGACCCGGGAGAGTGAGGAGCAGAAGCGGAACCGGGTGCGCGGCATCCTGCGGATCATCAAGCCCTGCAACCATGTGCTGAGCCTGTCTTTCCCCATCCGGCGCGACAACGGCTCCTGGGAAGTCATCGAAGGCTACCGAGCCCAGCACAGCCAGCACCGCACACCCTGCAAGGGAGGTGAGAGCGGACCCGAACCCCTGGCTGGTTCCCCGCAGCCCGGCCTTCTAGTTGCCCCAGGGGACCACTGCTCCGCCCAACCCGGGTGGGTGCTAGCCCTTCCCCGACGTTCTTCTCCCTCCGAGCCCTCACCTCAGAGTGTCTGGCTCCGGTCGGTAGTGATTTTTCCGTCTTAACCCACCACAGAGTTGGTCCTATCCCTCTCCCCTGTGCTCGTACCTATATTAATGCTATGCGCAGAGTAGGCACTACCCTGCTTTTTTTATCCTAGTGTGTGTGACACATGGTGGGTCCTGACAAAATGCACTTCTGGGAAAGGGAACGACTGGGCCATCAGATTGTGCCTCCTGCAAGTTTTTGTGGGCTTCTGTGACTCACCTGAATGCAGATTATGAAATAATTATTTTATGATTTTTTCACTTTTTACATCAGTGACAGGTGATGCAGTAACATACAAAATGAACTGCCTTCTAGATTTAAAATATAGACGGTTTTATTCACCAAATGAATTAACTAATTATACTTGGGTCTTTTAAATTAAGTTATATTTCTACTGACAGCATTTCTTTTGTAAAAGTAGTCCGCGAGCAGAGTAACATCTCTGACAAACACCAGGCGTCCGGACAGTAAATCTGAAGGATTTTGACCGCAGTTATGGCCCGCCAGCCAATGGAATGAAATAGCCTTGGGGGTGTGTACTGATCCTGGCTGGCATCAGAATTGAGCTGGGAGAAAAGATAAGTAGGTGAAGAAAGTAGTTGAGTACAATTTGGTAACCACCAAGTTATCATATACATAGTTTAAGTTTTTGAATGTTGATTTGGCTTCTGCAATCATACTGCTTTCTTTGAGAAAATAAGAGCGTTTTATTTTTTTCATTTTTCCTCCAGTAAAGTGCTTAAAAGTAACCTAAAATAGAGAGGTGAAGAGTCTTGCTGGATTTTGCATACAGGCTATAGGGCTGTGCCCTTTTTCTCCATAAACCTGATATAGAGTTTTATTAAACTAGCTGACCCTTAAGGATAATTTTTAGAAATCTGTCTACCAGAAAGAAATTGAGCACTCCTGGCATTCTCAGCTGGAGAACAAAGGTTGCTTCAAACCCCTGAATGATTTACTTGCTGAATTTGTATTGACCCCACCCACTTTAGGACTTAACCTGTGGAGCTTAATTATCCTTTACTTCTGTTTCCTGTCCTAAAAACGTTTGAACCACTTTGACCTCTAATTTCCCTTTCCAGCTTCAAAATTATATAGAATGGACAACTTTCAACCTCCTACATTGCCTTCCTTCTTCCTACCACTCCCTCATTCCCTAAACCAAGAATACCAGTCCAGATTCCCAAGAGAAGCAAACAAGAATGTTAGAGGAAGAAGCAAAGTTAGCAAATATTAAAATGCAATCATTATTTAAAATGGACATCAAGTTCATATTACTATCTTGTCAGTAATTTCCAGTTGCTTAAAGGATAAACAATTAATACCTTTTTTTTTCCTGCAGGATCTGATTTAGTCCAGGAAGTTTTTTATATTCTTCGGTTCTTTATATACGTAGCTGTCTTCAATCTTTATAAATCACAATTCCACAAACTCACCAAAGCAACTACAGTTTACCTTAGTTTGTCAGTCCTCTTCTTGTTGCCACAGTTTTAATACCAAAATATTGACCGTAGCAACAAATTGCATCAGCCATCCTGAAACACTGTTATTACAGTACTTACTTGTAGTGGAGTGTAAGATACAGTTTTCTGTTCCATTATCCCATTTACAAGAAGGCCTGCCACTGAGAGCTCTATTAACTCCCAACATATAAGCATTGAGAAACTGAATTTTAACTGATAAATAGTAGCAAGCATTGCAAGATAATAGAAAAGAAAGCTGACCTCTAAAGTAACAGGTTTATTTTCTTTCAGAATTTGAAAGCATGGAGAGAATAGGCTTAGGGAGGATTGTATCTCTATGAAAGCCCTTAAAAATATTTTAATGTGCTTGAGGTAATGAACAGTATACTAAATAGATACTCAGGAAAATTTTGGTTACTGTAGACTTACATGCTTTGCTTTCATGGCACTCCAGGATCCTTCTACCCATTTATCATCCTTGTCTTTTTTTTTTTTTTTTTTTTCTTCAAGCTTTTATTTATTTATTTTTAGAGAGGGGAAGGGAGGGAGAGAGAACATCAATGTGTAGCTGCCTCTCACACGCCCCCTACTGGGGACCTGACCTCTGTCCAATCTGTGACGATTTGGTTCACAAAACTAGCACTCGATCTATTGAGCCACACCAGCCAGGGCTCACTTGTCTTTTTTAAGAGAGAAACATCAATTTATTGTTCCATGTATTTATCCATTCATTGGCTTATTCTTGTATGTGCTCTGACCGGGGATCAAACCCACAACTTTGGTGGATCAGGACAATGCTCAAACAAACTAAGCTGCCCAGCGAGGTAGGGCCTATCACCCTTGCCTGATGCAGAGAATGTATATTCTAAGAGGAACTTACTTTCAGGGGGGTTTCTCCAATTAAACATTTAAAGCTTTTTTTGACTTAAGAATATATTAGATGATGAAATTTTTAAAAGATGCTTTGAATCAGTGGTGTCCAATCTCCGCAAGCAGACTGGTACCTGTTAGGGCTGCACAGTAGGAGCTGAGCTTAAATGTAATGTGTTTGAATTATCCTAAAACCATCCCCCCGACCCTGTTGATGAAAAAATTGTCTTCCACAAAATCAGTCCCTGGCACTAAAAAGGTTGGGGGCCGCTGCTTGGGATAGTCCCTAAAAACTTCACTAAGTCTTTCCCTCTTAAAGCATACCTTAGCATACTTTTTGCACCCCACTCTCACTTAACTGCCTTCTCTACCAATGTTCTTTGCCAAAAAAAACTTTGTCTGCTCCTCCTAATCCTTTTCCCAACTGCCAGCTTTCTGCGTTTTTCCTCAAGAGTGACCTTATATACCTGAGTTTTCCAAAATAAAATTCTCAAGGTTAAAGCAAAGCAACACTCTAATTATAATCTTTGTAAGGGAAACAGGTGGTTTTAAGACCTGGGCCAGCAGGGGGGTGGGAAGTGACCAACATGTACTTTATTCCAAGTAAATATTTAATAACGTGTATTGCTTTTGTGCTTCTCTTTTCTCACATACTTTATTTATCTGAAGCCATTAGATTTTCATCTGTTAAGGATTTGCAAAAGACTGCAGCAGACTCAGAAGGGGCATTTTAATGGAGGCCTTAATATTTTCAGCAAAGTTGAACTTTGAGAATTTCTTATAATTTATGTGTTTGAAAACATCCGGGATTATTTCTGTCAATATTCTCAGAATGAATTCCGTTGTTTTATTGGCATGGTTCTACTTCAGTCCAATCTAACCTTTTAAAGGACGTTTATCATTTAAGTCAGATTGAGGGGAAAATACAGGTAGTAGCAATTCCGTGATGTTGGAGCAAGTTTAACTTTTTCTTCCAACCTGTACTTCCCCCTCCAGTCTTCATATTAAAACTATTTAATTAAAATTCTCAATGACTGGATTTCCGCCAAGATGGATGTATGGGTAGAAAAATTGTGCCTTATTAAACAACCAAGTTAAAAGACAACAGAGTTTTAATAACAAAAAACACAGCCAAAACACAGAAAATTCAACTATATGGAAGTCCGCCAGCAACGAACCCTTCAGCCATACCGATAAAAGGGGCAGAGCCAGCGACTGGCAGAATGAGGTTACGCAGGAAAACTCAACCAAACCGACCCAGGCGTGGGCGGCAATTGGCGGACCCCAGGCATGGGGTTGCAAGGGAGACCCAGTAAGGGCACAAGGCAGCCGGCTGACCGTGGCCACACATTCCCACGCAGATAAACCAGTGAAGGAGCGAGCATTGAGCCAGACCACGCAGGCCCTGGTGGCAGGAAGCATCAGAGGGGACTGGCATTGCCTCTCTTTGACCCCGCCCCCAC